GAGAGAGAGAGAGAGAGAGAGAGAGAGAGAGAGAGAGAGAGAGAGAGAGAGAGAGAGAGAGAGAGAGAGAGCAATACCAGTAGTACTCGTGCTCATGGGGGTGAGAGAGGTAGCAGTAGTAGTAGCAGCGGTTGCATTCAAGTAGTTGTAGAAGTACTAGCCAAGGCCAGACTCCACTCGCATCTCGGAAATTTTCAACAAAACTTTCGAAGTTCCAACTCTATTATACAAGCCGGAAACCGCGCACGGCGTCCCTCTCAATGGCCTGTGTGGTGCCCGAGATGAACAAGGCATCACTGGCCAAGTTCATCAGAAACAAGGAACATGTAACCAATATGCCTTATGGAAAAACGGGACAAAAGATGGGCCTAAGTTACCTTCTGCTATAGACCACCTGCCAAACATATATGTACTTTGGCAATTGGCCGCCCGGAGAATACATGCCCGCCTTCACTTAGGGTGGGCGCAAAAAGTGCCTTTGCAGCTTTGCCAAAGGGCTCAGATCCTCACAGTGAGTCTTCCCAACCCCTCAATCGATCTGGACCTTCATATCTCGTATTCCTCTCACTGTGCAGGCAGCACCCACCCCTTCCTGACGAGGGTGAGTGAGCTGCTGTACATCGCTGACCTTGCCAGGGTGCCAGGGTGCCTGAACTTTGGGGGTGAGGGTGTCCATCGACAAAGCGTTGGGGTGCGTACTCACCACGCAAGATGCTGTGGGGTCAGCAGTGCGGCGAGGCCTTCGTTCGGCAGGGTGACATGAGTCGTACTTTGGTTTCAGAATCTAAACTTGTCACTGTGCTGAAGTGCGCCTCTTGGTGTGACATGAGGTGCTGGTTTGTGGTCTGGGATCGTTGCAGGGTGCGCTGAGTTAGCTTTTTTATTTATTTTTTCCTATTTCCGGATATCCGGCGGGCCTCAATTAATCCAGTATATCCGGCCGCAAAAAGACCCCCGGATATTGCCGGGAATACATTTTCCGGGGCCTGCACAAAATATGCGCAAGGCCCAGGAAATGATTTCGGGGGTGTGGCGGGGTAGAGGTTGGCAGCCCGAACACCCTCCCGCTCTCAGATTGTCACGGGGCCCTACTGGTTTTGAAAAAAAAAAGGCCCAATCTGGGCCGTTGATCGACAATGATCCATGGTCCAGATCGGGCCTTTTTTCGAATTCGAAATCGCGCAGCCCCAGTTTCGGACTGCGCGCGGTGTACTGGCATGCAACCCCCGTCCCTCCCCACCAACGGCCCGCGCTACGGGCTGCTCGCCCCCCGGTGCTTGGCACTGACGGCCCCCTGCCCCGCCTGCCCGCTGCTTGGCTGCTGGAGCCATCGCTGCCGCCGTTGCTTGCAATCGCCGGGAGCGCCATCCTCCTCCTCCAAGTAATGCCCGTCCTCCCCCTTAACCCCCCTCCACCTCCGCCTCCTCTTCCTCCTTTTGCTTTTCGTTGTTCTCCTCCTCCTCCTCTTCCTCCTCCCTCTCGTCATCGTTCACGTTGTTTTCCTCCTCGTCCCCCTCTTCCTCCTCATCGTCATCATCTTCTACTTCTTCTTCCTCCTCCCCCTCCTCTTCCTCCTCCTCGTCCTCGTCTTCTACTTCTTCTTCCTCCTCGTCTTCCTCCTCGTCTTCCTCCTCCTCCTCGTATTCCTCCTCGTCTCCCTCCTCCTCATCATCATCGCCATGCTCTCGTCCCTCCTCCTCGTCATCTTCTTCCTCCTCCTTGTCCTCGTATTCTACTTCTTCTTCCTCCTCCTCCTCCTCCTCCTCCCCCTCCTCATTGACGTCATGCTCTCCTCCCTCCTCGTCAGCCTCGGCCCTTCCTCCTCTTCCTCCCCCTCCTCCTCCTCATCGTCGTGCTCTCCTCCTTCCTCCTTCTCTTTTTCCTCCTCCTCGTCCTTGTTTTCTACTTCCTCTTCTTCCTCCTCCTCGTCCTCGTTTTCTACTTCCTCTTCCTCCTCCTCCTCGTCCTTGTTTTCTACTTCTTCTTCCTCCTCCTCCTCTCCCCCCCCCTCCTCCTCATTAACATCGTGCTCTCCTCCCTCCTCATTGGCCTCGACCCTTCCTCCTCGTCTTACTCCACTTCCTCCCCCTCCTCCTCATCATCATTGTGCTCTCCTCCCTCCTTGTCCTCAAATTCTACTTCTTCTTCTTCCTCCTTTGCCTCCTCCTCCTCCTCCTCCTCGACTTTGTGGTGAATCAATCGATTCGATTGGATCTTGATTTCGAGATCAAGATCCAATCGAATTGAGCGAATCGATTGATTCGATTGGATACTTTCTTTTTCTTTTTTTTGATTGATTGATTGATTCCTTTTTGTTTTTTTTTAATCAATCTGCAAGGAAGATGAGCATTAGCGAACTTCAGCAATCATACAGCATCATACATATGAGTCCAGATAGCCTTGACCTCGAACCACAGCAGAATTGCATCACGAGATACACCAAATAAGAACACACCAAGAGTTCAAAATTGACAATGCTGAAGTAGTCCCATCATCATCAACGAAGAACCAGAGTTGATATCCTATTGGCGCTCGGCGCCCAGACTACATGTGGCAGATCCTATCTAGCCTATACTACGAAGCAGAATGATGACATC